CTTTTACATTTTGTGGAAAAAATGAGATTTAAGCTAAGTGTTACTTTTGATTTATTCATGTTCAGATGAAAGGGTGCCTGGTGTTTTTGTCACACTGACAAAAAGAGTGATCTTTGAACAAATTTGAGTTATATTTTTATTTTACAAACTGTTTTTTTAAACTAGTGATTAAGTTGAGGGCTGGTTATGTCAACAAAAATGAGGTCTGATCTTGCTGATTATTGTGAAACCTTTTTTTCATGGATTATTTCTACTCAGATAAACTGAGGGATAAGTCCTGGTAAAATCCCTCCCTCTGCAGCTCCTCACGTCACGTACAAACGTGTGAAAATGATTGACACCAGTGTGGTTCCCCTGGTTTGCCGCATAAACATGCCCCCAAATTTCTGATCAGTCACACAATACGTGGCGCATACCCAGAGCAATAAGTCAGGCTTGCTTCAGTTAACTGGTTCCTCAGTAGAAGGAGACCCTCTGTGATGTTTCCTCCTCTCAGTTTCAGGAATCTCACTGAACCTGGAGAAGATGATGGCTCAGAAAAGTGGGGCAGTCAAAGCTCTCACCGGAGGAATTGCACATCTGTTCAAACAAAACAAAGTCAGACTCTTCTTTGTGTCAACATTTCTGCTTTTCTTTGGAGGAAAAGTTTATTTATTTTTTAATTTTTTACAACTGTGATGTTGCACTCTTCAGGTAACTCACGTGAACGGTTTTGGAAGATTAACCGGTAAGAACCAGGTGACTGCCACAGCAGCTGATGGCTCCGAGCAGGTCATCAACACCAAGAACATCCTTCTTGCCACTGGCTCTGAGGTCACCCCCTTCCCCGGCATCCAGGTACGTCTTCAGATGCTGTTTTCTGTTTTAGTCTCTGTTTATCACAGACAGTCTATATGTCTGTCTGTACATGTGTCACTCTGTTAGCAAAATATCTCATGAACTACTGCATGGATCTTAATGAAACTTTTAGAAAGGAGTTATCTCTGTAAAGCTACAACTAATAAACTGCCCCAGCTAATCGACTAGCCATCCCAGAAATATCTTTAACTTGGTCAGTTTTACAGAAGTTGAGCTAAAATGTGATATGGTAGTAGCTGAGAGTGGTTCACATCACGTACTCTGAGCGTGACGTTTTGTGATGCTGCACAAGATCATAATGTTCTATTCAAGCTTTGAACAAAACAGCTCCATCATTTCTCCACATTAGAAGACTTTAGTGTAAAAACATGAAAGCTGATGTGCATTCCTTCTAGAAATATTCAGTCTTTAAATGCAAAGAGTTCTGTGTAGTACCTGTATAGTACCTATATAGTACTAAAAGGTACCACAGCAGCAACCTGTAGTGTTGTGTCTCACCAGATCGACGAGGAGAGCATCGTTTCGTCCACAGGAGCTCTGAGTCTGAAGAAAGTCCCCGAGGAGCTGATTGTGATTGGAGCCGGAGTCATCGGAGTGGAGCTGGTCAGCATCATTTCAGTCTGACTTTAATCCCATCATTAGGATAATCTGCTGCTCATAGTCTCTGATTAGACAGATTACACCTGTTAAAAAGGATATTTTAAAAAGTTATTAATTTATTTATTCATTTATTCATTTCATTTC